TTTGAAGGGTCTAGGCCCGAAACGTCAGCCTTCCTGCTCCTATGATGCTGCTTGGCCTGCTGTGTTCATCCAGCTCTACACCTTGTTATCTCAGATTTTCCAGCATCCGCAGTTCCTACTATCTCTGATATAGTTTAAACGTGTTGGTTAGATGGATCTTGTGAGACATTCCTAGTAAGTTTAATTTCTCCCTCAGTGTCACCTCAAATGCATTCAGCTATGATGCCAGAACTCTACTGCAAGTAGCTGTTAAAACCATAAAACAGGGTTTCCATGTAACCTTTGATTGTACACTCCATGATATGCTTCATGTATACAATATAACATTGCACACGTAGTTAATCAATCTAGGCATGGAAAGATCGTTACTAATGAATAATATGAAACTAGGAGTTACAAAGTTTGATCACTTCAGATTAAAAGTACTTCATTCCTAACGTATATTGCTATGCTCAGTGTGCTAAACTAAATACTTGTGTTTTTACCTCTTTAGATCCCTCCGTGTCTTGTGTAACCCAGAACAAATCAGCATTGCAGCCGTCCCTCCCTGTCGGACATAACAAACCCCAAACATCCAGTTCTTGTACGTCTGCATCTTGTACAACACCATCCAAAGGTGAGAGCAATTAGCAATAGCCAGGCACAAAAACAAAGTTGCTGGAAAAGCTCAGCAGGTCTGGCAGCATCTGTGAAGGAAAAAACAGAGTTAACGTTTCGGGTCCGGTGACCCTTCCTCAGAACTGTTTCTCAGTCTGTTTTTTCCTTCACAGATGCTGCCAGACCTGCTGAGCTTTTCCAGCAACTTTGTTTTTGTTCCTGATTTACAGCATCCACAGTTCTTTTGGTTTTTATTTGGCAACACCCAGGCGTCTTGTTGTTTAGTTTCTAGGAACAATTGTATTTCGAAGGTTGAGGAATGTCAAAGGGAGAAATGACTCGAACCCGGCTCAGCCTTTTATCTTTTCTAAACCAGGTGATCTGAAAGTAAATGATTTACGAAAACTTGTATCCAGCTAACAAAACACCAGTTAAAACTGTGCCTGAATCTCGACACGGCTTTTGCATGCTGGTGTCTGGGAAGAGGCAGGTATCATTGTGAAATGAATTTCCCTAATTGATCGCAGTGAGAGCGCTGGGGGTGACTGACACCTACTGCCCTATCACAATGCACCTCAACATTGATCAATTGAATCCCTGTGGCTCTTACCATCCATTATCGATAATTGTTCTGAACACTATTTCTGCAACATTGCATAACATTATCAAACTTAAACGTGTCAGTTGCAAAATCAAGTCCACTGGGTGCTTAACCGATGGTACAAGTACGTTCTAACCTATTATTGAATCAAGCTCATTGCAAATCTCGTTTCCCTTCCTATGGCAGCCTGGATTGGTACCTGTTTTCAGTGCAAAAAGGCCAGCACAGCAATCCATAGTCAGAGTAGAGAATTAATAGCTTTAACCCATTATTTTTAGTTGCACTGAAACTAAGATGCTCATGCTAAAGGATAGTATCCATACGGCACACTCTAAGCCAATCAGGAAAAGAAGCTGTTGGGATTTCTGTTGAGTGGACCAATGCCTAATTCACCATACCATAAAATTGAGTGACATGGGAGCTCAGTGGTTCGCATTGCTGCGTGACAGCGCTGGAGACCTCAGTTTGATTCCAACCTCGAGTGACTGTCTGTGTGGAGTTTGCATGTTCTCTTTGTTCCTGCCACAATCCAAAGACATGTAGGCTAGGTGGATTGGCCATGGCAAATATAGGGTTACAGGGACAGAGTAGGGGGGTGGGTCTGGGTGGGGTGTTCTTCAGAGGGTCGGTGTGGACTCGATAGGCTGAATGGCCTGATTCCACACTGTAGGGATTCTGTGATAAGATACAATGGCACTGCTGCCAAAATGTGACCCTGCCCGAGGACCATCTGCTTTCTGTTATCAAATCAGTTCAGCTGCACAGTTTCAATTTAATTTGGGAGCCCGCAATTTCTTTTGAAGCCTTCTGAAACTCAAAAGCTAAATTCTCTAGTTCAGTTACCACCTTGTGAAATTTCGGTGAATTAGGCAGAAATTAACCTATATTTCTGCACCCCAAAATGACTTGTATTCGAAATATTTTTGAATAAAACTTCTAATTTTTGTAATTTACTAACGATAAATAGTTGGCTCCGTATTTTGAAAATTGGAATATTTCATATATCGGCCAGTCCTCCAATATAGCCAAAGGGCAAATAAAAATATTAGCCAGTCCTTGGTAATTTAATATAGATTTGTCACTGACAAAGAGAAAAATGGTGAGATTGTATAGTAACCATCTAAACCTTTTATTTTCAGATACATCTGGTTCCAGTCCTTCTGTTCCTAAAGTATCATCAATTACTCCACCCCAGGACTCTGCATCCGTGCATGAAGAGTGTATTGTCTGCTGTTCTTGCCTGGTTGACTCAGTATTGTACAGATGTGGACACATGTGTGTATGCTACAGCTGTGGTCAGAAGCTTCTCAGCAAGAGTTCCAAATGCCCAATCTGCAGACAACCAATCAAAGAGATCATCAAGACATACCGCAGTTAATACTTCCAGATTAACATGGGAACTAACTTTGTCTGACCCCCACTTTGAGTGACATTTCTTTGAGTGTCAGCAGTTTGGCCCACTGTCCCAGGAGTCCTCTGTTCTGCAGCACTTGGCAACATGGCCCAGTAGAAGATAACACAAGTGTGACCATTAGGTAGTTAACCTGAATGTGAAACGCAGAGAGAACATTGAAATGCAAGGCAGGACAGAGAAGGATGGGATGGGGAAAGTGTATGAAGAAATGGACACATGGTTTGTGTAGGAAAATGAGAGACTATTAAAGGCATTAAAGAAAGAGGGTCAAATTAGGAAGGGAAGCAGCAGAAAAGTTCAGCAGCGTGACTTAAATTAGAGAAATAAGGACTCAACCAGAAAGAGGAAGTAGTCCCAGTTATTGAAATCATATGAAAAATCGGGCAAACAACTAAAAATGAGAATGAGATTCCAAACAAACAAAGGCAATTGGAGATTTGTTTTAGTGGGTCAACTGGGAGAGATTAAGCCTAATTTAAGGAGATGTGTATACACACTATAGCAATCCACGACCCTGCTGGGTTCAAAATTACCTAAGCCTTTGCATATTACCTATTCGTTGTCCACAGACCCCCAATATTTCACAAAAGGTATGTCAGCTTCCATTCCAGTGATTAAGCTGCTGATATGGGATAAATTTAACATGACAAATGACCACCTCACTCTATTTGGATTTGCATACCAATTTCTTCATCAACACGAGCAGTAACTTCTGTTCCTTCACCCTGAAAGGTCAGGGTGTATGTGGTAGGCTTCTGGGATTCATACCATCATCCTATGAGAGGTGAATATGAATGATAGGTGGACGTTACTCAGACACTCACTTTAACATTTTGATTCTGTGTTCCAGCTTTATATCGTAGCCTTGCCATTGCTTGTCTGAAATGAAATGTTAATGTTTGAACAGAGCCTAACAGTTGCAATGAAGGCCTTGCACTTATGTAGACATTATAATTTTCTAGCCCTATAATGTGCTGGGACCTCTGCGCTCCTGCAGCCTTTTCCATTGGCTTAATCTTAGTTGCTGTACAATTGACAAATATTGTTTGTTACCACGGCCCTAACTTTTCTAAGTCACCTCCTTAAACCTGTCTCACTTAAAGAGTTCCTTGACTTTATCCCCTTGACCAATCTCTCTTTCCTCTGTTCCACTAGCTTCTTAAGTGGCTCAATGTCCCAATAATAATCCTGTGAAATAATTTGTCTAATTTGCCTATGTTAAGGGATGTTTATAAGTACAAGTTTTTGTTCGCATATTACAGCTTGTACATTTTTTTATTGACTGAACTCATAGTTTTGTAATGTACATAAAGGACTTTTTTTAATAAAATTGGGAATGTCTTGTTTTTATTAAATTCTTAGTTTCAGCAGTTGCACGGAAGCACTCACTGTGTTGTTATCAGAGATAATTTTGTTGGATACTTTCCACGCTATTGTCCAATATATCTTCACCGAATTGAGAGAAGGACCAAATGGGGTCGTTAACTTTCATTGGCTGTTTGTGATTCATTTTCACTGTTGAAACTGAAGCCAAACTCCCTGGCTGTGCGATGGCTCAAGACAGATGGGACGATAATCATCTGAAGGTTCTAACTTTGAATCATGAACTCAGTCAGGCCATTGGAAAACTGAGTGCTCTGAGCTGCACAAATTTTCTGAAGAAGGATCTAGGCCCGAAACGTCAGCCTTCCTGCTCCTCTGATGCCGCTTGGCCTGCTGTGTTCATCCAGCTCTACGCCTTGTTATCTCAGATTCTCCAGCATCTGCAGTTCCTACTATCTCTCAAATTTTAAGAAGTCTGCCAAGGACCCCAGACCTTGCTGTGATTTAGTAGTGTCTGCTGGATAATACCTACATGAGAACATTTGGTGGGAAGAGCATTGGGTTTACATCTGCACAACAGCCAATTAGCCAAAATCTGATCTGAGGCCCTTCAAAAAAAATTATCAGCATTGGAAAAAATTGTAAAAAGTACAGAAATTTCTTCTTCTAATTGTGTAATTTGTCCAGCCAGTAGCTTAAGAATGCAGTTTAGAAAGATTCTAGTGTTAATATTTGGTTAATTCTGAGTTAATTATTCTCTGCTATAAGCAATAGTTTTAGGTATAGTTCCTGAAATTGGGACCAAACTCAAAACAACTGACCTAATAGCATGTACAACCTCATTGTGGATTTCAACAGCTGTAGCTATGTTGAATGCTCACTGCACTGGTTCCATTCCTGAAGATCATCTCGGAGTTATCCATCCAGCTGCCTTTATTTATGATGAGTAGCTCTCTGTTATTGAACCTACTGTACGGTAAACATTGACGCCATTGCAACGGTTCCCAACTGGTTGTCAACTCTTGAAGCAGAAAAAACTCTCAAAGAGAAGGTGCCTTGCACGTGTGCTAAATGTTATTTCTGCTTAATTTCTTCCTTTTAGTTTTCATCCCTGTCCTAATACTGCACCTTCTTCCTCCCCTGACATCACTGAGAAATCTGGCAGCTTATATTTAAGAACGGGAGTTAATAATACCAACTTGCTTGTGACAAACAGTTTGGACGCCAGGTGGCCACACCCTTTAAGCAAGTATGAAAACAGGGGAACAATGTTGGCAAATAAGCTTGCAGATCTAAGTGAGCCATAAGGAAAAGGCCAGCAGCCAACTTGGAGATGACTTTATTGTGGCATTTAGAATCTTCCAATCAATTAGAAATTCCAGAAAGGTGATCTATATTTGACTGGCTCGATATTTGGTCCTTTCCTGCCCTTTTGGTGCTTGTTCATATTAACAGAAGCTCTGGGAGAAACAGACATGGATTTAAACTTAAAAGAGACCTTTACATTAATGTAAGTATATGGAATAATCTACCAAAGACAGTGGGAACCGATGATATTATAACATTTAAAAGTGTGTTGGGTTAGTTTTGACAGGGATATTAATTGCGTTCATTGACTGAATCAGGAGAAATGTCTTGCTCTGTTATCTCATCTTTTTGTGTTAATTTATTTGATACATGTTGCCAAATGTCACATTTCTACAGAGACACTAACATTTAAAGTGCTTAATTTTCAGTTTAATTAAATGCACCAAAATAATTTAAAATTTGATTTTTGGGGCCATCGTGATGCATTTCAGTCCCTTGGGTGCCTATTGGTCTTGGATGATTTGATGTAGGGTAGGTGATGGCCTAGTGGTATTATCGCTAGACTATTAATCCAGAAACCCAGCTGATGTTCTGGGGACCTGGGTTCAAATCCCACCATGGCAGTGGGTGGAATTGGAATCCAAAAGGGAAAAATCTGGAATCAAGAATCTACCGATCACCATGAATCTATTGCCGATTGTTGGAAAAACCCATCTGGTTCACTAATGTCCTCAAGGGAAGGAAATCTGCCATCCTTTCCTGGTCTAGCCTACATGTGACTCCAAGACCCACAGCAATGTGGTTGACTTTCAACTGCCCTCTGAAATGGCCTAGCAAACCATTCAGTTGTATCAATCGCTAGAAAGACTCACCCACATGCAGGTGGAACTGCAGCGGTTCAAGAAGGCAGCTCACCACCACCTTCTCAAGGGGCAACTAGGGATGGGCAAGAAATGCTGGGCCCAGCCAGCAACGCCTACACCCCACAAAATGAATAGGAAAAAAAAATGTGACTCCACTCCAGGGTCATGGTTGTTACTATTAGCATTGAAGAGAGGCTGCCCAATTGAATCAATTGACTCTCTTGCTGAGATTTGGCCTGGGCCTGTTAATGCACCCTAGAGCCAGGAAGAGAAGCAGCCTTGTCCAGCTGATATCTATCATGTCCACCGTGACTATAGGCTATACCCTCTGGGGATCTAATAGTCTGTTCTCCTGTTAATAATTGCTAACACAGAAGCTGCTGACAATCCCAGTTTCCCACCTGAAGAGAATCCTGCAGTTGTGTTTTAAGTGGTTTCTGATATCAATCCCCAAGTTTCAAGTTGGTCACTTTGCAAATTTCCATGCAAAGGAAATCTGACAAGGAATCTTCCGTTTTTAAGACATTGAGAGAATAGGAAGGATATTATCAAACTGAAGAGGGTTCAGCAGAGATTTTCCAGGTGTTGCCGGGTATGGCAGGTTTAAGTTATAAAGAAGGGCTGGGACTTTTTTTCACTGGAGCGTAGGAAGTTGAGGGCTGACCTTTTCGAGGTTTATATAAACCATGAGTGTTACAGATAGGGTTAATGGTAGCTGTCCTTTCCTTAGGATGGGGGATTTCAAAACTAGGGGACACATTTTTAAGGTGAGAGGAGAGAGATTTAAAAGAGACATGAGGGGCAATTTTTCTTGTATACAGAGGGTGGTTTGCATGTGGAATGAACTTCCTGAGGAAGCAGTAGATGTGGGTACAACATTTAAAAGACATGTAGGTAGGTACTTGAATAGGAAAGGTTTGGAGGGATATGAGCCAGGAGCAGGCAGGTGGGGTTAATTTAGTTTGGGAATATGTTTGGCACGGACTGGTTGGACAGAAGGGTATGTTTCCGTTCTGTATGACTCTATAAGTGATCACAGATCTTGGCAGAAGCTGCAGAAATTAAATTTTGACGAGCAGCTTTCCAAAATAATGATGCGATAATTTGTAAAGAGTTCACATCTTACAAAGCAATTGAATTACAGTAAGAATCTTCAAAAGATCTAACATGACAATTCTCCTAATAAAGCCCGACTACAGGAGCTGCCTGGAATATTTCCATTTCCATTGCATTATAAAGGTTTAGCTCCATTCTAATGATTCATTCGGAATTTATTTATTTGTGCAGACTGTATCTTTTTATTTTTTTAAAAAAGTATATTACTGGCAACATTAAGGCATTGTACAAAGACCAGACTGATTGAGTTGGTGGGTAAACCGGAGGTAGCATTGCCTGACAAAGCAAAGAAGGCAGAAACAATTGAGAAACTAGTACAGACTTGGGACTAGAGGAAAAACAAGTGGAAATAAATACTGTGGGTAGTGAAGTATCAGAATTAGATATTCAGTTACGGTTAAAGCAGCTTAAACACAACGAATGAAAAAAAAACAGGAGATGGAATTCCAAAGGGCAAAGTAAGATAAGGAAATGGAAGAACAGAAATGAGAAAATGAGAATCAGAATTGCAACAATAAAAAACCCAAAGGAATATGAACACTATAAAATGATGCAGTTGGAACTGAAAAAGGCTCTGGTGGGTTGCATTTGAGTCAAAAGGAAATGTTTTCACAGGGTTTACCAACATTTTGAAGAAAAGCATGTGGAGGTATTCTTCACATCATTTGGGAAAATGGCTAGACAAATGAATTGTGAAAAAGAGGATTGAACCTAGCTCATGCAGAGTCAGTTGATGGGTAAAGCACAGGAAAATTTCACCTGTCAGTCAATGCTGTAAAGGAAATTACATTGGCTGTGTATACATTAATGCCTGAGACATGTAAGCAAAAGCGAGAGAATTTAAAGAAACAGCTGGGGCAAACCTATATTGATTTCAAAAGTGTTAAGCAAAGTAATTTTGAGAGATGAAGACAAGCATTAGCAGTTGAAACCGTGTATGAACCTCTCGGGGAGATTATTCTCCTAGAAGAATTTAAAACTCTTTACTTTCCGTATTAAAAACTCCTGTTCAGCACCACATAGTTGCAGTTACTAGACAGGTGACAATAATGTTTGATGATACTGAGCTAATACATAAAACTACCACCCTCCTAATTTGAAAGAGATAAAAAGAAGGCAAAGCTAGGGTAAAGAAGGGATAGCTGGGAACGCTTTAAGGTCCCTTCTTAGATCAGAAGTGAGTGTGGAGGCTAAAGGTGAAAATCAGAAGCAGAGGGGTTCCAATTGTAACACGGTGGGACGCATTAATTCAGAATGCAGGAAGCTGCAAGTGAAACCCATGTGGGAGTTGTAAGAATCAATCTGAAAAGGAAACACAGAAGGAAAAATTGGCACATGCCAGATTGTAGCTTTAACTACAACTAAGAGATCAGTGCAGAGCGTAGATTAGAGACAGGAAGGTTTCTTTGTCTAATAATGCCCCTTTTTTCCCAAAGGAAACATCTAAGCCGATAACTGTAACTGAGCTACTTAAACTCTCTTGTTGTAGAAGGATTTAGATTTTCCTTTCCAGAAATTTCATTGAAAGGCAAAGTGTTTGTAAATAGGAGAGGTGGAGGTTATATTCCTGTTCTGTCCAATTGGACAAGGTCCAATTGGAGTGTGAACTGTTGTCAGGACTAATGGTGGTCAGGATAGTTAAGAAATGGATGGAGCTGATTTACTCCTGGGGAATGATTTGGCAGGAGTGAAGGTCAATGATC